GCGAGGCGGCGAAGACGCCGCGCGCGCTGGCGTTCGCGGCGCTCGTCGCGGTGGCGACGAAAGTCGCGGTCGATCGGTGGTTCATCGAACGCGCGCACGCGGACGCGGCGGTGGGCGAACGCGAGGCGGCGGACGAGGATGGGCGGTTCGTGAACGTCGAAGGCGTCGACGTGCACTACAAGGCGACGCGGAAACGCGGCGGCGCACCGGCGACGCGAGTGATCGAGTGCATGCACGGATTCGGGGCGAACGTGTCGTCGTGGACGACGAGTGGGACCATGGAGCGGTTGAGCGAGGCGTTGGACGCGGACGTCGCGGCGCACGACTCGTGCGGGTTCGGTTTGACGGAGCGCACGCGGGACGTGAAGCGGTACACTCGGTCGAGCGATGCGCGCGCGTGCGCGGCGGTGCTGAGAGAGGTGGGGGTGAGTGGAAAATCGGTGACGCTCGTGGGACACAGCCTTGGCGGGGTGTCCGCCGCGCTCGCGAGCGCCGGCGATGCGCGCGTCGATCACGTCGTTTTGGTCGCACCAGCCATCGTCGGCGGTAAAGTGACGCCGATCGATAAGAGAGGCGGTGCGATGATGCAGCTTCCTATGTTTGCGCGCTTAGTGTTCGCGTGCGTCGCGGCGACGCTGAAGACAATGTCGTGGACCCTTCTCGTCGCGACGAAGCCACTCCTGGTTGTTTTTCTGCGCTCCATCGTGCGCTCGAAAGAGTTTTGGAGACGCGGTTTATGCGCGGCGATCGATCCATCCCGTGTGAGCACGATGTCCGAAGGTTGGGTAGATGGCTATCGCTTACCCAAGGTTGTTCGCGACTGGGAGTCGGGAATGTTTCGCGTCGTCCTCGCGTCGATTGCCGCCGCAAACTCGCCTCGAGAGATTTGGCGAGACGCCCTCGCGGCGGCGCGACGAACGACGGCGCCGACCACGCTCGAGGCCGAAGACGCTGTGAATGCACTCGTCGATAGTGGGGCGAAGATTCTCATCGTGCACGGCGAGAGCGATAAGATAGTCCCCGCGAGTAACTCTGTGGCGCTCGCAAAGACGCTCGGCGCCGAACTGAAACTCATCCCTCGCTGCGGTCACATGCCTCACGAGGAATCGTGCGAGGAGTTCGTCGACGTCGTTCGTGATTTCATCGTTCGCACATCTACCTAGCTATTACAATTATGCGCGCGTTGCTGTTTGTTGTACCATTCGCCAATCAAGAACGGCGCGTCTCCCCCGACTCACTTCATCTTCAGCGCGTGCAGCTTCTCCGGATCCGCGAGCTCGGGAAACTTCTGCACCAGATTCGCGTTCTTCGCGTTCCACTCCAAGCTCGCCGCCGCCAACCGCCTCTTCTCCGCATCCGTCGTCCGTACCCCTCCGCTCGTCTGCTCGTCCGTCGTCATGAAGGATATGAACCCGGTGACTATGCAGCTCGCCGACCACGCCGGATTCCACGACTCCTGATGCCACTGCATCATCGACGACGCACCAAAATCATCCATCGTCAGTCCCTCGCCCACACCGCGCGCGCGCGTCGTCGTCGCTCGATCGCCGTCGCGCCTCCCGTCGTCGCCGCTCCGCACCTCCGTCATCGACATGCACACGCTCTGATTCTCCGCGAACCGTCCGTTCGGGGTGATCATGCTCACCGCCGGCGCCTTGAACGGATAATCGTGCTTAAACTTGATGCGCATGACGTACCATCCGCCCTCGTACGGCGAATCCGGCGCGCCCTGGAGCAAGATGAACCACTCCAAGAGATCCTTCTCATCGACGTACACCGACGGTGCGAGCGGCGGCGGGGCGCTTCGGAACGCGCGCAACTCGCGGGTGAGTCGCGTCGCGCACGCCTTGGAGGGATTGGGCATCGCGCGCGATCGCGGGGCGCGGTGGCGTCGAGCGCGGTGACGTCGGGCGCACCGTGTAACTGTGTGAACCCTACACCCTCGAGACACCCGATTTTCTGAGTAAAACGCACGAGAAAACGCTCGAGCGTTTCGTCGTGGACGCGCCGGCGACGACGCGACGGGCGTCACACGCGCGCGGAAGGACGAGATGGCGTCCGAGGCGTCGACGAAAATGTATCGCATCGGTGAAGGCCCGTACGCGCTGAACGAGGACGACAGCGCGGTGGATCCGGTGGCGTTCAGGGAGGCGCTCATGAATGACGCGGAAAAACTCAAGCACATCGAGCGGGACGAGGAGCTGGCGAAGGCGCTGCTCGGTGAGGACACGGGAACGATGCAGGAGGCGTTGAAGAAAGTCATGGCCATCGTGCGTGCTCGATGACGCGAAGGGACGAGGGAGGGGTGACTGACTGTGGGCGCGCGACGCGCGCGACGCAGGCGAAACAACAGCGCGAGCAGGACGATCACTCCGACATGAACTCGACCGACATCATGCGCGCCCGGTGCACGGTGCCTCGGGACCCCACGGTTCTGTATCAGGGAATGTTAAAGGCGGGCTTGCAGTACGGGCCGTCTTTCCGCTTGCTCAGTCAAGTTTGGATTCCCGAGGCGTTGGACAAGGAGCAGCGCGCCGGCGGCGGACTCGGCGCGGGCGAGTGAGCTCGTTCGCGATGACTGGAGCGCACCCGTCGTCAAAGCGCCGTATGCGCTTCAATAGCGATCGAATCTCGTCAATCGTGCGCGTGGGACCGCGCACGGGCGCGTGCGCTCGCCTCGCCTCGCGCGCGCGCCAACGCAAAAAAGCATACCAAAATCTTTCCAGTCGCCCGCCAGCGCGTCCTCAATCGTCGACGCGCGTCTCGGCGCCATCGCGCGATGCGTCACGCGCGCACGAAACGCACCCGCGGGCGGTCTCGTGCGTTCGCGTGCGTCCTGTGCGTCGCGATCGGCGCGGAATTCATCACCAACGCGCGCGCTGTGAGTCTCTTCTCCACCGGGCGATCGTCCGCGAGCGACGACCGCGGGGCATCGAAGGATCTCTCGGCGCTCCGAGACGCGCTGCGGGAGGCGTCGGAGGCGTCGCGGGCGCTCACGCGCGCGATGGACGCGGCATCGACGATCGTGGGTCGGTTAGAGCGCGCGGGCGGGACGGCGACGGAGACGAATACGTGCGCGAGCGCGGACGGAGGGTGCGCCGCGAGCGAGCGAACGACGTCGGATGCATCGAACTCGGTGAGCGCGCGCGCGTCGTACGGCGGCGATGGACTGGATTTAGAGGACCTCGTGCGCAGGGAGACGGAGGCGCGCGTGCGTTCGGCGCTCGCCGGAGCGGCGATATCGAGCTCAAACGCCAAACTCGGCGAGTCTTTGCGTCGACGGTGGGGGACCAAGGTGACGACGCGCGTGAGTGTAGCTCGCGCGCTGCCGTTCAGAAGAGGCAAGGGCAATGACCGAGCGACGGAGTATTACGCCGTCGGCGACGAGCTCGGCGACGTGACGGTGAGAAGCGCCGAGACGGGAGCGACGGCGTGCGAGACGAAGACGGCGAGCGCGTCGGAAGTGCGCTCGTTAGTGTCGTACATGTCAAGATTAAACACCACGGTGCTCATCGCGGGACACGACGACGGGACGGTCTCGTTTGTGGATGTCGTGCGCACGTCGTCAGAGAGTGGAATCGATTCGGACGAACACAAGTTGCGATGCGCACTCGTGACGTCCATCACGATCGGGCGGGCGACCACTAGATATAAGGAGAAGTTTAGAGCGATGAACGGGTTGAGGAAGGAAGAAGCCGTTTCGGGATCGGTAGAAAAAATCGAGGAGAATGTCGCCGTGGAGACGTTGGGAATGTATCGCATTCTGGGCAAACGATACGTCGCCGCGGCCGACGCGAACGGGCGCGTTGCGGTCTTCGCCCCCTTGAATAAAGACTACGCGCACGTTCACGGCGTGTTCAACACCGGATCGAGAGTGTTCGCGTTCATGCCTTACAACAAAGGCGTCGTGGCGCTCACGCAAAGAGGCGTCACGATCGCCAACATCAACACCTTTACATCCAAGCTCCTCGCTTGCGATGGGTTGAACCACGTGCAAATCGCACTGGGGTCGTTCGATTTGAGATCGAGTAAGAGATTGACCGGCGTGACGACGGACGGGCGCGTTCTGTCAGCGTTCATCTCTTTGGATGGCGCTCGAACCGGATGCGCGTTTCGCGTTGGTGGCGAGCAGTCGGAAACGCTATTGACGGCGACGTCGATCGCCCTGGTGAGAGGTTACGCCATCGTCGCCACGAAAAATGGTTTAGAAATTCTGAACACGACGAATACGAGAGTCGCCACGCGAGTCTTTCGTACGGGGAGCGATGTGCTCCTCGCCGCAGAGGGCGTCGAGGCGCGGTCGACCGAAGCGAGCGCGCCCGTGGTGGCGTCCGACGGCGATCATCAGATCGTCGTGGCGCATCCTGACGACGGCGTCATCGTCATGTATGATAATAGCATGTACGTCGCGCCACCTCCCACGTTGTTCGGCGAAAATCCGTGGTTTCAGCCCCTTGCGATGATGATTACAATCGGCATCGCGATTTGGAGCTACAACAGTAAACGAAGTGAAACACACTCGAGGGACGACATTCGACGGGTGACCGAGGATGGACTTCGTAAACTCGGGTACGGCGAAGACATGTCGCGCGCGCGGGCGCGCGTGACGGGGCAATCGCTTCCCGGATTCGAGGAATGGACGCCGGCGAGGCTTCGTCGAGAAATCGAAGCCGCGAAACTCAACGGCGACATTTAACGCGAGTGCGGTGTAATCTGATCGATTTAAAACAGGTGTGATCACGCATCACGAGATGATTTACGCGTTCCGCATCGCCATGACGATCGATGACGACTCGATCAATCAGCGCGAATTGGTCTTCTCAAAATCGCCGCGCGCCTTCTTCGCCTCGATGATCGCCTCCGCCCGGGCGCGTTTCTTCGCCTCTTCCGCGCGGTTATCCTCGATCGCGATCGTACTCTTCTTCCATTGTTCGCTCACCTTGAGCTTACGGACGAACTCCGTCACCATCGCGTCGTCCAACACCCCCGCGTCCGCCGCCTTGACGAAGGCGTTCAGTTGCGGCAGTTCCAACATCTCCGCGTTCAACTCTCGCTCCTTCATGAACGCGAGCCAGCCCCCCTTTTCGAGCTCCGCCAACTGCTGTTCCTTCTTCTTCCCGATCAAAATCGAGAAGATCCCGTACGGGACCATGATCGGCGCCACGGTGTACAACAGCACGCTCGTCGTATCCGCCGTGCGAAAGTGCCAAAACGCGATCAAGTAATCCTCCACCTCCTTCACCCCCGCGTGCGCCGCGCCCGCGGCCGAGAGCGTCATCGCCGCCGTGAGCATCGCCGTCGCCGCCGCGCTCGCTCGTTCGCCACGCGTCACGCCCGCGTCGTCATCATTCGCTTTCATCCACATCGCGCGCGTCACCGGTCGCGATCGCACTTTTCCACCACCGACGCGTCGCGTCCACGTCGACGGCGTCGCGCGCGCGCGCACGGGCGCGGACGCGAGCGACATGGTCGTCCGCGCGCGCGTCGAGCGATCGCGACGCGTCGGCGCCGCGT